TTTTAAAACAATACTTATACCACTCATATTTCCAAATCACTGTCGGAAATATTTTGGAGCACAAAAAAGGCAGGATGGGACTGACATAATTATAAAACGCTATGGAGAGTTATTTCACGCTTTTGTAATTAAATTCCGTCCACCCGATTCAATTGCGTTAGACATTACCTCAATGAGAAAAAAAATTAAGGAAAGGAGTTATTAAATTTTCATTTAATTAATGTGCTCTCGGATTTTTTTATAAAAGTTTCACTCTATTTGTTACTTAATTAATAATAATGTCAATTAAAAAAAAAAAAAAATTTATTTTGTACTATTAATTTTTGGGTTATCATTTTCTTTAATAAATTTATTGCAAATTTTTATGTATAATAAAGTACGCTACTTGTTAAATATGAACTATTACAAAATTTATGTGTTATAGCTATTAATTTGATCAATTGCACTATAAGTTTGTACCCGTTCAGGAAAAGGAAACATTTAGTCCTTCAGCAAAAAGAAAGTCGAAATACCAAATGATTCATAAAAACAGTCGGTAAGTAAAAAAATAATAAAAATGCGTAAGAAATTGCTTATGAATGCATTGCTGCACCAACTGAGCAAAAGTAGTTTTATAGTAATTAATGTATATATAGTACATAGCGTTTTTAATATTTGCGTGTAGCATACGTTCGATTTCACCTCTAACTAGCCTGACGGGAAATATCCAGCTCATACTCATAACAATTATTGTGTAATGGCTGGGTAATTGATGTTTGTTATTCTATTTTTGTAGTGTTTAAACAATGTCAGGCCATAAATGTCTAATTGCATGAGAGTCGAAGTTAAGAAAGTTAATTTTTTTATGAAATTTTTTTATGGTTATTGTTAAAAAATGGAATTCACCCTCATATTCAAAAACTTTTTTTCACCCGGCCGCGCCGATGCTAAAATACAACAGCAGTCGCGCGGAACCCTATTTTTAACATTAAATAAAAATGATTGTTTTTGAAGCTAGAGTTTCGGGAGTCGAGACTTTTTTTCAGAAATTTTCTCCTCTTTTAGAATCTTTTCTCCGATTTTTGATATCACCTATAGTTATTGAGTTATTCACGGAAAACTGAGATTTTTTATTTTGTTTATTTTTTTTGTTAATAATAAATTGAAATTTTTATCAAAAAAATTAAAAAACATTATTTTCAGAATTTAATTCCGCATCAAATAAGTGGTTGTTCATATTTTTATCACAATTTCTAAGACTTTTCTCAACAAATTTACACAGGATTCTCACAAAAATTTCCTGTGACACAACCGCTGATCCACAGACAATTGATCCGCATGATTAGTAATCTACCCGACAATTTATCCTCATGACAATTGTCCCGAGTATCGAATAAACACACACAAAATCCATGATATAAGGGCACAACACGGTAACATTGTCCAAAAATTAATCATGGATCATTTGTCGTGCGGTTGAATTTTTGGGTGGATCAATCGTCCGTGGATGAAATGTCGTGGACCAACGTAATCAGATAATTATTTTTTTTCTATCAACGCTTGATATGAAATTATAAAAAAATAAAAAATTGCATTAAGGTTATTAGTGAAAACTTATTGTATACTTAAACTTTACTTTGATTTAGGTATGACACGAGTTTTTAATTCATGCACATTTAGATTTACAAATTTTTTTTTTCTGGTCAACTAGTTTTAAAAATTGTAATTTTTTTACTAATATTTTAACTACATAAATTTTAACACATTTTTTATCGATAAAAATTTACCAATAATAGAAAAATTAATGAAAAATATTCATAGTAATTTAAGAAGATACAAATGTTAGTGTAAAAAAAATCATTTACACTCTTATATTATTGATTTATTTAAATCCTTATTCACTCCAATTCAACAGAAGTGAACAGAATAAGCCTTTGTAATATTGAGTTAAAATTTACTCTGTTAGATGGCAGCAGTTTGTTGCATTATAACCATCTGTCAGAATGTGATCTTTTGACTACAAAACCGCAGTCGATCACAACAGTGACTGTTGAACAGTCAGTTATATGTAACATTGTTCATCCCCTGATAGCCAAACCGGTCGCAACTTTCCGTCGATTTGCTGCCGCAACTTGTCACCAAGTTGGCGGCAAGTCTTGGAAATGAACTCGGTTGTTCACCAAGTTGTCGCCAAGTTGTCGGCAAAAATTGTTTTCGAAACTCTTTCGCACCAAGTTGACGACAAGTTTCTCGAGAAATTTGGCGACATATTGCGGCAGTAGATTGGTCTTGTTTTTCTCAGAAACTTGTAGCCAACTTGACGCCAACAGTTTCAAATTCGGAAGTTGACCGCAAGTTGTCGGTAAGTTGGTGGCAACTATCTGACACCAACTTGGTTGGTCTGAAACTGTAGCTATCAGGGTACTGTTACCATTATATAAAACATCATATAAATAAGAAATCCAAATAAATTGGAAAAAAAATTTACAGCCTCAAAATACCGTTCTGCTTACGGTAAATACACACTTGGTTTTTTATAGGTTGTATCAATTTTTTTTTGGTTTCTTACAATAATTTTATTTTTTCTTAACAATAATAGTTTAATTTTTTCTCTACTATTTCTATAAGGCGTGTAGAACTAGAATTACAGTATTAACCCGGAAAAAATGTTTGAATTCGCGCTTCGCGACAAGTAGTGTCACCTGCTGGACGCAATCCAAAGTATCACATAGTTAACTCGTGGTTCGCCCCTAGATATCTAGTCTGCGGCACAAACTATCCCCTTGAAACTACAGTTTATGTAGATATAATTACAGTGCACCCTGGCGGCCGTAAATGGAAGCTGTGAATACTTTTTTTAACTGTAGTTGCGTATCTGTAGGAGGAATACTACACATTTTTATTTTATCTAGTCTGTGGCGCTGACTTTTACCCATCGAAAAAAAGTCAGGATCGAAAAATGTGAGCGCGCTATAGTATGTGCTGATAAAATTTAATAATTTCAAGTAAATAAATTGTAATAAGTGAATATAAATGAATTAATACGGTAAAATTAATTATGACCCTCTGTTATAATATACAAATTAGTGAAAAAAAGTACGGTATAATTAAATAAAATTATACAACCTCAAAAAACTGTTCTGCTTACTGTAAATACATTCGGTAGTCTGGCGCTCCGTTTGCAACGGGATTTTTGAACGGAACTTGGCGCCAGATTCTACCGAATCTGTAGATCAGCAACTTGTCGGCGACTTAGGAGGCTATCAATTTTAAATTGGCTGTATACACCATCCGTAACCATATTAGTTCCACGAATGTACATGTAAAATGACATATTTGCAGAATTTTTTTTGCATTTTTTCTACCTTCTCAATCAAAACTTGAGTATGAGACGACCATATGATAGTACAATATTCAAAGATTGGTCGGACTAATGACGTAACTCTTTAGAGATCTATAAGCGTATGAACGTCATTGAATTCCCTTCCTGATTTGAGTATGAATCCAAGTATAGTGTAGGCTTGAGATGTAATTTTTACAACATGTTTTGTGAAGTTAAGTTTGTTATCTACAATTACACCCAGGTCCTTTACTGACGTAACTTCTATGAGTTGATGTTGATTGAGATGATATATGGCTGATGGTGTCCATTTATTTGAACATGAGAACAACATTACAACACATTTATTTATATTTAATTTAATTTAAATTTACTCTCCCGCCTTTATTTATTTGCTGCGAGTTGAACGCGTTGAACACCCTACGGCGTTTCAACGGGCGAATTAAACGAGCTAAATAATAAATTTACACTATAGCCAATTTTGGTGGCTGTTCAACAGTCTAGATACAGAATTTAAATAACAAAATTTTTCATCGCTATTTCTAAAAAAAGAGAAATATTAATATTTATGTGAATCTAGAAATAGGTAGTAGATGTAGGACCCTTCTAGATTCGACGAGATACATCAAACTGTAAAAGTAAAATTTTCCAATGACCCGATTATTTTTTTTAAAATTCGATTTATATATATTTCAAAAAATAAATTTTTCTTTTTTAAAATTAGTTTCCTATTAGTAGTTATTCGATAATTTTTCAAATTAAATTATTTATTAAACATATCAAGATGTTATGTATGTATTATAAAGGCAGATTTTCATGCACGATTAACTTGTAAATTACCGCCATCAATACTGCTGTGACCGTAAGGTGAGCTGTTGAGGGCCAGTTTTCAATTCCAAGATAAAATTTTATCCAGGATAAAATTATTATTGCCAGTATATTTATACATATGAAATATATAGATATATTTTGTTAAATTTCCTTTCAACTTTACTACAATTTGACGGAAATACTTGTACAGCAAGTTTTGACGTCTATTTGGAGAGTAAGTTATAGGTAACTAATAGGTAATCGCTCGCTTTGCCAACTCTTTCCGTCAAGTTTGCTTCAAATTGCGGACGTAGATTGACAGTAAGTTATAGGTAAGGTGGCTATCAGGGACTCAAATTTTGTATGATGGGTGTGTTCAACTTTAGTAAATTAACGAAATTACCTCACAATAAAATGTTATATCCTCAAGAATTAATAAAAAAAATCGATCACAATCTATTATATGAATGTACTATAAAACAAAAAAAAACCATCCAAATAGTAAATTGACAATAATAAATTCTTTCAGTTCCAAGAATTATTATATTTTATTTGCTTGCTAAAATACACGACTTCCGGGCATGATTACCGTGTTAGTACCGGTAAATGCTGGACCCCTGACTATAAATGCTATAGTATTGGTCCAAGCGGGCGAGTATGTACTTCCGGTTTTAGAACAACCCCCGCCATTTTTACAGCGACAACATAGTGCTGGTTAGATATATTCAAGAACGCGGACAAAATAGCGTTATTTTTAACAAGAAGACTGTCGAGAGGTTTGACAAAAGTGTAGCGCCATATTGCTTGCTTGTGTTTGGTGTTAGTCGTTGTGGCGCGTGGTCTAACGTACAAATCATAATAAATTACAATTATGTCAGACAATCAGGTAAATAATATATTTGTTGTTATAAAATTTATAAATATTTATGTATCAAAATTACAATATCATCTATAAAAGTATATTTATCGATAAATATCTATAAATATATTTGTATATATATATATATATATATATACATATATTTAAACCGCTATAACCTTCGTTTTTGTACAGGAACAAAAACCCGACGCCGGTCCAGGTGATGCGAATTCCGAATACATCAAACTGAAAGTCGTTGGAAATGTTAGTCTAATTTTGTTTTATCAAAATTTTTAATTTATTTAACCATTATTGTTAATAATTGAATTCTTAAATTTTTAGGATAGTAACGAAATTCACTTCAGGGTAAAAATGACTACCCAAATGGGTAAATTAAAGAAATCCTACAGTGACAGAGTTGTAAGTAAATTTAGTAATTTAAATTGTTGATTGAAAATTCATAAAATTAAAGCTCAAAATTTATTGCAGGGAGTTCCAATGACATCACTTAGGTTTCTCTTTGATGGAAAACGAATCAACGATGATGAAACACCAAAGCAGGTAAATGCTTGGCAAATTCTGACCACGTGGTCTGTAATTACAATGAAAAACAAAGTTATAATGATAATTATTATATTTCTATTGTAGCTCGAGATGGAAAATGATGATGTTATTGAGGTATATCAAGAGCAAACGGGCGGCCGCTTCTAAAATTTTGCTCCATCTTCAAATACGAGGTGAACCAAGAGCATCCGCATTTTGGTTTTTCTCAATATTTTTTAAAGTGAAAGTGATGTAATGTTAGATTTATGAATGGACAAAGATTATCAATATCATTTTGCTGAATGTATTTCTTCAAACAAAATTCTTCATGTATTCAAATTTTTCCTTTTGTTGCTTTCAATTTTCTTATTATGGAACTGTGAACTATTATTATTACATTCCTATAATTAAATATTTACAATAGCAGTTCTTAGTCCATTGAGAAGCCTCGTGATTCATAAATGTTTTTTTTTTTTGTTTTATTATCAAAATCACAATTATAGTATTGAAAAAAATGTAAACAATGAAAAAATAATACATAATATTTAGACTTAATAACTCTTTTGTTTGTTAGTTTTTTAAATCATTTTTGTATTTATATAATTCCTTTAAGAATCACATGAAAATAACTTAGATGAAAACCATTAAAGAGTTACGTGATGTCTTTTTTGTATTTTTTCTTTTTTTGTTTGAACATAATTAGATTTAATGTAGAAAATCTGAAAACTTATTAAGAAATAAGATATCTTATATGTGTAACAAATTTCTTCATTATTGATGTCAATTCATTTTTTAAATACATAAATTAATAAGCATTAATAACAAAAATTACAGTTAATAAAAAACTTAACTATTGAGTATGAATGAATAATTTTTAGTCATATGATTTAATGTATTCAAAAGTAAATTTAAGTTATCCAAGTTGATGTATATCATCAAATTAGTAAACAAACTTTAAAAATAAATGATTGATTGTTGTATTCATAAGTCCTTAAGATCCAAGTAATCATAGGTGGTATTGAGTGGAATAGATATATTTATTAATTAAGTCGGATTATCTATGGATAATGTTAAAATTAATAATGAAAGATTATAAATTTACATTTTTATATTGAAAAATGAAATTCTAACATCGAAATGTGGCTAAAAAAAAGGAAACTTAAATGTATCAAAAAAATTTAAAATAAAAATTCTATGAGCAGAAATTGTAAAAAACTATTAATGCAGTTTTTTACAAATAATTTTTCGGAACTAATTTGTTTGTTAAATAAATTCAAAAAATGGCGAAACATCTGATAATTTAAGTGCTATTTTTAATGGCTTTTGGGGAGATCAAGTATAATCTAAAAATTTTCAAACTTTTGTTCAACACATGACACTCTTCACGAAGTAATACACTACCTCAATTTCATTTATATCTTCCAGCACCTGCAAGCATTATAAGGTTCTTGAGTACTTTATCATTTTGTTTTGTTGGAAGCACTTGTGGACACGTGTATAACAACTCATTAAGGGTAGGCCGTAGTAAATTTATTTTCTGAAATTTTATTTTTTTAATTACTTTTTGGAAAAATTTTTAAATGAACTATAATAAAGCTTCCGCAGTAGTTAGTCTTATGTTCTTTCAGGAAACCTTATTCGATCCCAGAGTTTATATGAAACATAATTAGAAAAATAAAATTTTTGAAAATACATTCACTAACGACCTACCCTTAAAGTTTCATGGTAATCAGATAATGAGTTCAGGAATGATTAAAAAACAAACGAACAAACTACAAACAAATATTAACATTTTTATGGCCAATTTTTTAATTCGGAATAAAATAATTATTGCCAGTACTTGTATATACATGCAATAAATAGATATATTTTCTAGTATTGGATAAAATTTTATTTTAGATTGAAAAACTGGTCCTAAAACAGGAATGAAAACTTAAAATATTGGTATTATACAACTCATTTATGCAGTATTTATTTAAGTAATGATTAAACCTTGAAATAAATTGTATGAAGTGAAATTTGAAGAAAACTCTATAATGAACATAAACACGAAACGTAATTGTTTAATGTTTCAAAGATATTCTCAGAATTAAAAAATTTATATAAAAATAGTTCATAAAATTTTTAACCAGTTCAATTTTCAACTGGAAAACTATTTAATATGAAAATATAAAGATCTTGATGGGTGATAAACGCGTTTTCTGTTTTCTTCTGGTGTTTCTCTTGTTAGCATCCAGCAAAAATCTGACATCATGTTGACATTCTAATTTACTCGATACCTACCCCTCATTTCATTTAAGTCTTGATAAAATCGTTTTACTTGTTCTTCGCTATAGTCTTCAAGATTTTCAGGTAAGTGGTTGATGTGAGAATCCATGAAGTGTAGTTTGAGATTTATTAAGCAACCTAAGAAAAGGAATCCACTGCGTAGGTCATTTGAAGATAAAAAAAATCGATACAAACGAACGACAGTCTGAAATTAGAAAATATGGTTTCGTACCTTCTCTTTACATGCTATTTTTTGAAGATTTAAAAATTTTGTCAATTTTTCAATTCTAAGATCATATTCCATCTATGAAAATACACCCAAGTCATTAACAATCGTGTTTAATAGATTTTTTTCTCATATTTATAACTGTAATTTTCCCGATTTTTTGGGTTTTTTGAGATTTTTAAAAAATTTTAAAACGTTAAAGGAACAAGATTTCAGATTCAAATCCAGTGAAACAAAGTACATAAAAATCATACTCAATCTGAATCAAGAAAATTTTTTTTTATTATTTCGATTTTTCATGATTTATTGCAACTTTTTGGGTTCTTTTGCTTTTTTTCAAATTTTGACGGCTCAACGGGCTAATTAACGTTCAGATTCATATTTAGTGAATTGAAATACATAAAATTCATACTTGATCTGGCTCCACAAAATTTTATTCATCGCTGTGACTGCAGTTTTTCGCAATTTTTTGCTATTTTTTGGGTTTTTTGGATCTTACTCAAAACTTAGAGAGTGTACGGGCAAAACTGACTTCAGATTCGGATTCAGCGCGTCAAAATACATGAAGAGAAGAAGGTCCGGTCAAAAGTACTGACTTTTTTTAACTTCCCGCTAAGAAAATTGAAAATTTTTAAAAATCGGGAAGCTATTGGTTTTACCCCGTTTTTCGAAAATCGAGTTCTCATCAGATCTTGACGTTTAGAGGTCCTACGAAGCTTCCCTGAATGTTTTCGTGATGATGTCCGTGTGTGTGTGTGTGTGTGTGTGTGTGTGTGTGTGTGTGTGTGTGTGTGTGTGTGTGTGTGTGTGTGTGTGTGTGTGTGTGTGTGTGTGTGTGTGTGTGTGTGTGTGTGTGTGTGTGTGTG